TAAACCCAAAGTCCCTAAACCCTAAGTCCCTTAACCACAACCCAGGACAGAGCGCCACGTCTCTACCTCTCCCAGAGCTCCGGGCGAGCATGGCCATCGTTCCCCAGGAAGCAGAATATACTGGTTTAGGGTTTAGGGTTTAGGGTTTAGGGTTTAAAGTTTAGGGTTTAGGGTTTAGGGTTGAATATACGATAATGATGCAGCACACTATAGTATAATATGGGTATAGTGTAGTATAGTATAGTATAGTATACTCATATTGTAGAATACTCCGAGCATGTAGTATGATACCATGTGCTGTGAGAATGCCCATTGTTCCGCAGGACCCGCTGATGTTCTCGGGGAGCTTGAGGCAGGGGGCCCCCGACAACGAGATAAGCATAAGCAAAAATACAAGGGCTTCATTTGAAGGGGATTTATATGCGACGTCCCTTTCCTATTGGTTCGTTGTGTCCTGAACCGTAAACCCTAAACCCTCTTTTTTAGGCCCTATGAGGTCGAACCTCGATCTCCACGGGCAATACAGCGATGCCGAGTTGCTGGCTGCCCTGCGCTTGGCGCATTTAGAGGACTGGGCTTAGGCTTTACCCATAGGCCCCCATAGCAGTTCCTTTTTTTTGGATTACCTTATAGGATTCTATATACGAACCCCAAAAAGGAACTTGGGGCCTATGGGTAGGCTTAGGGATTCGAGTTTAGGGGTTAGGGCTTAGGGATTCCAGCTTAGACTGGGGTTGGGGTTTAGGGATTAGGGTCGAGGGGTTTGGTTATAGAGATAACTTCGAAGCCCAGAGGAGCAAGTGCAGGGCATGCCGCAGAAGCTGGATGAGCCTGTGCAGGAGAAGGGGTCGAACTTTTCAGCAGGGACGGTGCAGCTCATCTGCATTGCGCGGCTCCTTCTGGCCAAGCAGCGAATCGTCTTTCTCGATGAATGTACTGCCAGTGTAGACCTGAAGACAGATGCGCAAGTGCAGAGTGCAATCCGATCAGCCTGCGGTGACTGTGCGATTTTGTGCATAGCTCATCGGCTGGACACGATCATCGACTATGATCGCTTAGCTGTTCTGGATTCCGGGCGGGTGATTGAGACTGGCTCACCTTCGGAGCTTCTGCAGCAGCAGGGCGCTTTCACGAGCCTGGTGGCCAGCATGGGCGACGCCGGGGCCGAGATTCGACGAAAGCTGGTAGCTTCACCGCCTGCACCTTCTTCGCGCATCAAGCTCTGAAGATTTGACGCTTCCCTAAACCCTAAACCCTAAACCCTTGTTGCGGAGCTCCTGGGCGCCCTTGCCATTGCCTTATCGAAGAAGTGCGCAACTGAAGAGGCGAAGGCTTCAACCCCCGTCATCTTCGGCTCCTTGGTTCTGACGTGCCTCCGCGTTGCTTCGCCATCTCAGCGCATCGCGTCGCTCCTGGCTTGGGGAAGCTGCAATGACGGTTCCGGACGGAAGATGAAGACTGGGTTCTTGTTAAGGGATTTAGGATAAGTTACCATCATAAAGAAACCATATTACTTATGGTAGATCCCTATTATGGTCAACTAGGTTAAATCCCTAAGAAGAACCCGGAAGAAGTGGGCAGCTCGCGGTTCCGCGCATGCAGGGAGATGCTCATACTCGCTCCTCTGGCGTTGCAGTTTGACAGGGCTGCAGCAGCAAGCTTGCGTGCCGTCGTTGGCGGTTCTTTGAGAAAAAGGGAGAAATAAGAATAACAACAGTGCCGCGACTTCATTCCCACAGTCTTCCAAGAATTCATTCTTTGGAAGTTGGGGCGCGCGCCTTCAAAAGTCTCCACTTCCCCCGGATTGTTTGCTCTTCCGAAGCATCAGACTGCATGGCGCTTGCCTCGATCCACTGGCTCAGGTATGACATGAACATGGGTTTAGTGTTTAGGGTTTAGTGTTTAGGGTTACTTACTGCATGGATTGCTATAAGGCTCATTGCTAGGCTGTTTCGGGAGACTTTAGTAGTCATGGCAGGACTGACTCGTTACATAGGCAGTCGAACACGAAACACCCCTGCAGCACTAACAACCACACCAGCACCAGCACACCCTAAACTCTAAACCCTGAGCCCGACTGACGCTCGAAGTCCCAAAGTCCTAATATAGAAGCATGACTAACAAAACCTTGGCCTGTATTAGGGTTCCTGCTATGAATCTTTATATATGTTGGGGTAATCAGCTTCCTACACTACCAGAAATTATAAATATTCATACACCAGGCCCCAGGCTACCGTGACTGAGCAGCTAAGCCGCCCAGCCAGCGCCCGTGCCGACCGAGGGCTGTGCAATGGGCCGCAAGGCACGGCTTCTCTGTGCTCTTGCACTCTGCGACAGTTTGTTAGCAGTTCACCAGTCGCGAATAATGTGGCGTCATATGACTAAGCCTGGTCGGCATGTATCAGCTCTTGAATTTGCAACATCTCCGACATGTTGGATGCGGGGGTCTAGATCGGACGTGGTCAGGGAGGCATCTTGCCGCAAAGGGAGGAGAATGCAAGCGAGAAGCAAGAGTGCATTACTGCGGAGTTAACTCCGTAATATTATAGGGGCCTTAATAATTGGAATAAGGTTCGGGGTATTGTATACTATAATCATAATAAGGAACCCCCAAAACCCTACTCTAATTATTTAAGGGCCGCTACATTAAGGTTGCACAGTGCGGGGGAATATGAAGTTGCCTTCGTCCCTGCAGCCTGCATTGCAGACAATTGTCCCCCAATCTTCCCCGAAACCCTAAACTTCTAAACCCTGAACCTCTCAACCCTAGTTTAGGGGCTTAGGGTTAGGGTTTAGGGCCTATAATGCGAAACCCCTAAACCCGAAGCCCCTGAACCCCGAAACCCCCTAAACCTCTAAACCCTAAGCCCTAGAGCCTATGACTACCTTTCACTCTATACCTGGGTATACCCGTCAATTCTGGGGGTAACCCGAGCACCAAACCAAGTATAACACCATGCAAAACTCAATATGCCCAGGAAGCAGGCAAAACACCATAAAATTACAAAGCCCTGCAGAGCCTTATCAAAATACAACAAAACCTTTTGCTCCCCCCCCCTTCTCCACAACACCCTGTGAAGCCCCCTACACTCTAAGCCCAAAGCTCTAAGACCGATTTGCGTTAGCGCAACTTGTGAAGCCAGGGGAGAGGCAAAGGCACTCCAGATGATCCTGCGCCTGTGCCTGCGGCAGGACACTCAGACCTTTCAGTCCTGAACCCTTCAGTTTGACTATGTTGTTCAGTAAGCTGAACACAAGCGAGTACATAGAGAATTGAATAAGCGGCAATCACTTAAATCAATCATGAAGGAAGCATACAATAGTGATTGCTTGTGTTGTGTTGTATCTATCTGTCTATCTGTCTGTCTATCTATCAATCCATCTATCTGTCTATCTGTCTGTCTGTCTGTCTGTCTGTCTGTCTGTCTGTCTATCTGTCTGTCTATATATCTATCTGTCTGCCTGCCTGCCTGCCTGCCTATCTATCTATCTATCTATCTATCTATCTATCTATCTTAACCTCTTAGGCATATACCTATACCTGTATATGCATACTCAATCTTTTGATTCGCAGAAAGTCCTTGACTCTACAGAGTCTCTAAACCCTGATGTTAAGATTTCAGGACCCTTAATCCGAGGGCTGAGCCGAAGTACAAAGGGCACGGATCATGTAGTAACTAGGGTTTAGGGTTTAGGGTTTAGGGTTTAGGGTTTAGGGTTTAGGGTTTAGGGTTAGAGCATACCAAGTGAAACGACAGAATAGTAAAGTACCGTAGTTCGGAGACATTCCAGATTTTCGTGCCGTCATCTGGCAAGACCGCAGCACCACCGCCAGGACTGTCTCCTACTTTTAAGCTTGTTCGTGTTGATACCTATACATGTTTGTCCCTGCATCTCCCGCCTTTTCCTGCCTGTGTCTTGATATATCTCGACAGTTATTCACACATGTACAGGCTTGCGACACAGCAGAAGCATACGCCGTGATGGCATGTACGGCATACATCGGACATGGTCAGGTATGTGCAAGCAGTTGTGTAGCAGGCATCAAGCCCTTACCTTTGACAACACACATGGTATACTACTGACTGTTACACGGGGATTACAAGCGACACGCAGCCAAACAAACGACGGCTTACAGCATTAGACATAGTTGGTCAGTTGAGGTGTGAGAAAAACTACAGGCTTGCGAATAACAGAATCACGATTTCCGCAGAAGACAACAGCAAGCACGAGAAGATAGCAGCAGCTATCATCCGGTAACAGTAGATAAAACCAGAGAATACAAAGCATAGATACCCGTAGATCGGAGCAGGACGAAGATACAGCAGATAGATTGTGCTACAGCAGGTGATGGTGCAGGGTGCTCGGCCATGTCAGCACAGGAAACGTACTCGCAGGAAAGGAAGTAGCAGACAATAGCAGACAAGAGGTAGCAGCGGACAGCCGTAGATAGCAACAGAAGCTAGCTGTATCATTCGTACAGGATACTATGCACTACTGAATCGCATGCATATGCGATGTGCATGCTTATGTTCGTACATACATATGGGGCAGGCAATAGAATGCTTTGGGGGCTTCGTATTGGACAACGCCTGACAGTTGATTCGTTCACGGTCCATGTGCGCCACGGACGTTGTCATGCTAGCAGTGTATATCAGCTGTGTGGCCCCTTCTGCGGCATTGGCTTCTGCAAGGGCTGAACCACAGACAACAGATTATTGTTGTTTGCAGTGGTGAATGGAAGGCTCTTTACCTGAACCCTAAACCCTAAACCCCTGAACCCAAAACCCAAAACCCTAAACCGTGTTGCATGGAAGGCCCTTTACCCTCGCCCTCAACGATAAATCCTAAACCCTAAACTCTAAACCCCAAACCCCAAACCCTAAACCCTAAACCCCAAACCCCAAACCCCAAACCCTAAACCTAAATCCTAAACCCTCAATCCTGATCCTTCCCGACCAGCCCCGAAGCCGAAACCTGAGGGTTCAGAGTTTAAGGTGTAGGGTTTGAGGTTTAGGGTTCAAGCTTTACGGTTGAAGGTTTAGGGTTTGAGGTTTAGGGTTCAAGGTTTAGGGTTCAACGTTTAGAGTTTGAGGTTTAGGGTTTGAGGTTTAGGGTTTAAGGTTTAGGGTTCAAGGTCTAGGGTTTTAGGTGTAGGGTTTGAGGTTTAGGGTTCAAGGTTTAGGGTTGAAGGTTTAGGGTTTGAGGTTTAGGGTTTGAGGTTTTGGGTTTAAGGTCTAGGGTTTGAGGTTTTGGGTTTAAGGTCTAGGGTTTGAGGTTTAGGGTTTAAGGTTTAGGGTTCAAGGTCTAGGGTTTTAGGTGTAGGGTTTGAGGTTTAGGGTTCAAGGTTTAGGGTTGAAGGTTTAGGGTTTGAGGTTTTGGGTTTGAGGTTTTGGGTTTAACGTCTGGGGTTTGAGGTTTTGGGTTTAAGGTCTAGGGTTTAAGGTTTAGGGTTCAAGGTCTAGGGTTTTAGGTGTAGGGTTTGAGGTTTAGGGTTCAAGGTTTAGGGTTTGAGGTTTAGGGGTTAAGGTTTAGGGTTTAAGGTTTAGGGGTTAAGGTTTATTATTTGAGGTTTAGGGGTTTAGGGTTTAAGGTTGAAGGTTTAAGGTTTCGAGTTTAAGGCTTAGAGATTAGGGCTTAAAGTTTAGGGTGCAGGGTTTAGGGTTTAGCGTACACCAGGTCCTAAACCTCAAAACCTCAATTCTGAAACTCCAAAACATACGCCTCCTGGACGAAATCCTGAAGAACTTTGCATACCCCAATCGCTGAAAGCCCTAAACCCTAAGGCCTACACGGCTAATGCAGATTTTAGACCCTAAACCCTAAACCCTAAACCGCTGTCCATGCTCCGGAGTACTGGAGGTGCCAGCCGCGGCCGAAGCCTCTGCCGCAACTGCCGCAGACTCATGGGATCCAGCGTGGCGTTTAGGAGTTCAGAGGTTCAGGGGTTTAGGGGTTTAGGGGTTTAGGGTTTAAGGGTTTAGGTTTCAGGGGTTTAGGGGTTTAAGGGTTTAGGGTTACTGGGTTTAGGGTTTTGGGTTACTGGGTTTAGGGTTTAGGGGGGCCTGATGGTTTAGGTTTGAGAAGTTATGGGGTCGGCAGGGATTTTGAGTTCTAGTGGGGAAGGTTTCGGGTGTATAGGATTGTTAGGTTCTATCTTCGGGAATGGTTCGAGGGGGTTTACGGTTGCAATTGGTGTGTTTGTTTTTTGAATGGAAAAGGTATT